ACAAATAAAGGTGCTGATGAATTCTTAAGAAAGCTCTTAATGACATTTTCTGTACTGAGTAGGGTTTTGGCTCCTATTTGGATGTCAAAAGCATAACTGAGCTACCTGAACAGTGGCTTTTTGGTGTTGATTACACGTGGTATTAGAAATGCCCCAAAATCTCTGTATCAAATCTACTGTTTTTGTATTATGTTGATCAATAAGCATTACCAGCACTCCTCCCTGCTGTGATTTATGAAAACAATCACAAGGGACTACAGTACAGCTACTGCCTCCTGCCAAGATGCAAAGGCATAAAAATGTGTCAACAGCTGTGTCTGGCAGGATCAATGCTGTACATCAGTGCTAAATGTGAAAAGAAAGGGACCCTCCCGAAGCTTTTCTAGGCCACCCTAGTGTCCAGGTCCCATTGTTAGTAATTGAAAAAATATTTGAATGTTGTACTTGGCTTTGAAAATCTTAAGAAACAAGCACTCCAACCTTAGAAGACAGTCTAAGTCTGGAACGTCTTCTAATTGTATCATGGCAGTAAGTCTGAGCAACAGGTGTTATTCTATTTTGTTTGCCTTTTTTAAAAAAAAACAGGTGGTAGCTCTTTCATCTGTACTTCTGTAGCACTGTTTTCTCATATTAAAAGAAATTGCACTGAAAGACAAAACCTTCCCAAAGCTTTTAATCAATACAATTCATTCCCTCAGCGCTGTAAAAGTATCAGTTAGGGTGGTCTAGCTTTCTCTTTTGCTGTTACTGAAGTAGACTTGGAAAAGTAAAAGCAGTTGAAAGCAGCTTCTGTTTCACTCTTAGCATGAAAAGAACACCTGAAGAATCCAGACAGAACTTGTGGCCCTGCTTAGTTTTGACCCTCGTCATTCTAAGTAGCATGGAAAATAATTTTTCTAGCTTGTGAACATTGCTGAGAGGAGAAATATTTTCCATGGTCTGCATCAGGTAGTAATTGAGTTATTTGTCATTTCTACTTAAAGATGTTCAATTCTTTCATTTTGAATGGACACAAACTTCCAGAAAATTATTTTTTACACATTTCTCTGCTATATAAAAGGCAAGGTCAGTACACAGAAATAATTCCCCACACAAGTACTTTGCAGTCATATCTTTTTGATAAGTGAATCTGGCAGATTCCTATAACTATCTCCTCTTAAAGCATTTTCTGCAGCCCCTAAATGTTGTCCTTAATGTGACCTCCCCAGCTTTTCTACAGACTTTTAAATTAAAGCACAAATACTCAGAGAACACCACTTGAACCTAATTTCAGAGTCCAGAGAAACGTGTGCCCTGTGGGTCTCAAGGACTCCGTCACATCAAGGAGACCACTCCAAAGCTGTCTTCTGGCAGAAAGTGGCAATGTCACAGCCAGGAAAGAAAGCAGAAACCAGGAAGATCCATGGTGTGGTCTGCTTATCCCAGCAGATTGTAACCCTGTCAATTTCCACCACTAAGAATGAAGGAAAGGGGAAAAAATTACATTATTGCACAGATGCCTTTTTGATGGCATAGATGTGGGTTGCACCATGCACTTGCTGAAGAAGAAAGACAAAAAAAGTGTCTCCTTATAGGCTACCAGCTTCTTACCAGAACTTCTGTGAACCACTGCTATGCATTGCTGATTGGTAATTATCAGACTAAATTATCTTTTTTTAAGTGGAAAGCACAACCTATCAAAAATCAAAGATTTCAGTAAAAATTACTTTGATGCATGTCTCAGTTCCTCTGCAGCTGAAGGAGACTTTGCAGCTTTTAAAGTCTTTTGGGTTTATGTTCCCATTCAATCAGACTGGACATTTAGAAAGTAAGTGAATTTCTATCAAGGAAAAATAATAAGCCAAATTTTTCCACTGGTGCTTTAGATTTTATTTATATTCCTTCCAGATAACCATTTACAAAAAAATCCAACTAAACCAGATAGGTTCAGACACATCATAAGGATCCCAGGTCAGACCCCATAAATGTGGGTGTGAATAATTAACAAAGATGAGGAGAAAATTTACCACCCCAAAATACAATGGGGGAAGTACCTTTTTGTTCTGACACCTTGCATGAGTCATATGAAGGATATACAGAGGTCTTTGTGCAGAGCAGGATTCCCTCCCAGACATGCATTGAAGCAATATAGCAGTTTATTCCCAACTTCACTTTTGCTTCTTTATTTCTGTGGCCGTTCTGCTGATGAATGTCTGAAGAGCAAGTGGGAATCAGATCCCTGGCTGTAACCTCACATTCAGTGCAATTCTATAACATATAAGAATGAGTTCTTTGAATGATAGACTTTTATGAACACTGGGCACACTAAAGTCATCAAGATAAACACTGTTAAATAAGGTTCACATAAGCCTGTCTTTAGCTTGGGCCCTGGTCCCTCTCCGGTGGCAATGACCAAATACTGGTACAGCACCTTCAGATGAAGGAAATCTCCATGTTCCTCAGCTTATCTTAGTGCGCTGTGGGAACTGAATTAGCTGGGGTGGATAATACCTTGGACTGGGCTCCTGACACAGAGGGAATAAACCTGAGGCCTTGGGATCCAGGGTGCTGGGGGGATGCTGATGGAGGCATTCCTTAATAAGTCATGTCCCTGGTCCACATTTGCGATTGTACCTCTGCCCTCAAGTACCCCTATACATTGTGAAGTTAACCATGGCCCCGGGGCTTTGGAAGCAGCCCCTCGGACCATCACATCTCTGTGAACATTAAAATTTATCTTTGGGCACTCCATCGTACCCTTCCCAAATTATTCTGCCACACTTGACCCAGCTGAACTGGGAGAGAGATCTCAGAACCCAACTGTGACAGTGAGCGACTGTGCCTGTACTTGGGGTGAATGCCTAACACACACTTCCCTACCCTGGCATCCTGAAAACATAAATTCTGCAAACTGCAGCATAAGCATTCTTCTGACTTCTCCTGGTAATTGGTTTGATGGATACTAAGAACTGGACAAGCAATATAACCTCCACAATTTATTGCTATAGCTAATTATAAAGAGTGTACATGTGCAGCATGGTATAGAGAAAGAAGGATATACAAGTGCACGCATGTACAAAGTATCCCTGTATCGTTCTAATGAAAGCCCAAAACAAAATTTCCTGAAATACATCCAGTAAACATCTTAGAAAATGCAATCCAGTCTTTACATAGCTAGTACCCTCACAAAGTAACCTTTCATGGCCAGCTTAAAAGTATTTGGCTAGACATCAGCACTTAATTTGGCTAGACATCAGCACTTACATTTAAATATAATATATTAAATATATTAATATATATATAAATATATAATAATAATATAAATATAATCCAAACATTTTGAGCCACAAATTCTGAAATCCTTTAAACAAGATGGAAAATTAATATTGTGACTGCTCACTATAGGAAATAAAGAAACTTCACCAATAACTTTTGACCACAGCCTGTTTAATTAGCTTTTAATTACCTTTTAAATTAAACATTTGTTTCCCCTATACTAACAGTCCTACAACACGTAGAATTAGTCAAATTAATTAGTCAGATTAGCAACAGGAAAAATCATCATGCTAAGATGTAAAATCTATTTATGGGCCAGATTGAAAACTCAATTAACGTAATTACTAACTTAGCATTTAATTCAGCATGCCTTGGTCCACCTCTTTGTTTGGTTTGGGACCAGTTTCACCTCTGAGATTTGGCACTGGCTCAACAACCACACAAAGAGTGGGGTTCCAACCCCTGGGGAATGTGTGCTGAGCCTTTCCAAAAGAGCTGCAAGACAGGGTCCTCTGTGTATGCAGGTGAACTCACAGTGGATGATGTCTTTTGGAAGTCAATCCATGCTGGGAGACAGCCACTGCTGGTGGCTGAGAGTGGCTTCCCTGACAAATTCTATTATTCTCATGGGGGTGAATGGACCTTGGAAGTCCCTTCTGCTGCAATGCATGCATCTCTTCTGCCACAGAACTGCTGGCCAGGGAAGGGCATATCTGAAACCCCCTGGGATATTGTCTGAATTCATACACATGCTCAAGGGAATCCTGCTGCTTTCAGCAGCCCTTGGTGTGGGACAGCAGTGATTGGATCATTGTTTGGGATGCAGTACATTTACCACAGAATGATGTGGGTTTGAAAGGACTTTAAAAGGTCATCTAGTCCAATCCCTGTGCCATGGGAAGGGGCATAGGGAAGGGACATTCCACTAGACCAGGTTGCTCAGAACCCCATCCAATCTGGCCTTGAACACTTCCAGGGATGGGGCATTCACAACTTCTCCGGGAAACCTGTGCCAGTGCCTTCCTACTCTTAAAGTCAGTATTTTGTTCCCAATACCCAGTCTAAATCCACCCTTTGTTGGTTTGAAACTATTTCCCCTTATTGTGTCATTCCATGCACTTGTTTTTTATTGACTGCTGTTGTTGCAAAACCCAGTTCAGTCTCTTTGAACTTCAGAGGTACCTGAACTTTACAGCTTGGTACCTATGTGGCTCACTAACTTTTGGACCAACAAAAGGACAAATCATCCTATTTTCAAACTAACATTCTCAGTATGGCTAAAACCAGCAAGTAATGGCTTGCAATGCCTTGGATTCTCACCTGGATTTATTGCAGAGCTCAGAAGATGGTTTGGCTTTGTTACAGGTAAGCCAGAGTTGCTGTGCATATCCTCTGAGGGCTGTGCTGTAAGGATAGTAAGCATTAAAGGGAGCTACCAATCAGGGGGAGGAAGATTACAAATATGAGCAGCAAAACTTAGCTGAAGCTTGGGAAGAAGGAAGGGTGTACATACAGTTGCTCTAAACTAATGAATTCTTCTACCATCTGCTTTCTCCTCCCTTACAAACTATTCATCTGTGTGTCCTTTTTGAGTTCTTTTCTCACTTTTCCACCCGTCTGCCTGCTGTTAATTGTGTCAAAATTTACTACAGGGGGACTGAGCAGCTCCTTTTAGGATATATATCAATGTATTTATTGATGGTGGCTGACCACGGTTGAATCTTCTTTGAATTTCAGCTGTTGCGTTTATTTTCAAGAAATTGAAACTTTCATATCCTGTCCAGAACAAAAGATCAGAATTCATCCATTTCATCTTTGCAGTGAATTGAACTATCCCTCACAGACAGAGGTGAGACATATCAGCTATGATGGATGGTGAGCAAGCACAGTTGTTCCTTTTATCTGGAAAAAAGTATTTTAGACATCATTGCAATCAGTGTCCAAAGGTATCAATTTTCAGGCCCTCTTTGCAACAACAATTTATTAATAAAAAAAATTTAAGAAATCTGGTTAGTTGTTATATATTTAAAAGGAGAAAATAAATTGTCAGTTGAGAAATCCAAATTCCAAGCAGAGTAATTTTAAACAGGACAGATCATCTGGCTGTAAAGCCAAGGGCATCTTCCTACAAACCTCATGCACATCTGTGTTTGAAGCCTACCAATTACCATGGTTACCATGACATTACTAGTCTTATTTATAGCCCTACACTATACATACATACATATATATATATATATATATATATATATATATATATTACTTTCCAGAAGGCATAAAAGACAGAGCTGACTGTGAAGGAATCTGGGAACTGCACATTAAAAAAGAGATGCAGAGACAATAAAGCTAATTAAAGAGGGGCTGCTGATGGTGGCTTTTGCAGTGCCAAGCCATGACAGTGTCTTCACGTCACAGACACAGAGGGAAGGGAGGTGGCCCCATGGCTCCTTCACCCTGTGCCCACTCAAAGGATGTCTCTGCAAGGGGACAGTGGTGGAATCCCTTGGCATTCCTGGGGCAGGATTTTCAGTACTTCTCTGTGTTCCCAAAGGACAGGAGGGAGCCTGTGGGTGGCAATGCCAAAGGTGGGAGAAGTGCTGGGAACAGAAAGTAGCCACCTCTGATGTCAGTACCCCCCAGGGCTGCACCCCAGGGATAGGCAGCTGCAGATGCATGCAGCAAAGCAGAAGACACTGCACATTGCTCTCTCCCAAGGGGATGTTATTTGGCTTTTCTTACTCTCTGAAGCAGACTGTAACATACATGTGAGGAATCGCGTGTATGTGTGTGTGTGTGTGTGTGTGTGTACACATATATACATATATACATCCATATATACATGGATGAATACAAATACATATGAATATATATTACAAAGAATATATATTTTGTCATGAGGAATGAGAAAAAGATCGAGTCAGTGACAACATTTGCAGACTAACTGCCATGTAACATGGGATAAAGAGAGGGAGGGAGGCAGGGAGGCAGGAAGGCAGTCAGGAAGGCAGGCAGGAAGGAAGGCAGGCAGGAAGGAAGGCAGGCAGGAAGGCAGGAAGGAAGGAATTTTTAATTCCCGGTTTTTAATTCAATGCTACTTCCAGGAATCAGGTTGCTGCCTAGGTCAGCTGCCAGCCCCAAGGGCAGTTTCTGTTGCCCAATGGTAAATCAATAATATAAATTTAAAATATAAAGAAAAAGGTCCTGAAAAGGATAATCAACAACTTTGGCGTCTGCAATGCAGGAAAAAAAAATATTAAAAATAACAGACATGAGAGGATTAAATAGTGTCTTCTAAAAAAAAAAAAATCAGGATTAATAATATCAGTGCAACTGCAAGCACAAATTGTGAGGGAGGATTTTCTCAGACTACAACTGAGCTTAAACCTCTCTGGAAAGCAGCTGCAAAAGAGGCCATATTACCTTCCTTAAGAGCTTGCACCTCAGTTTCAAGAACATCTCTAACAGTGAGTGTTTTGCTGATTAAAGACCAGTGGGAATGAGTGGAAACTGATGCCTGTGGGAAAAAAATAATTAAAGCCTGACCTACACAAGAAGGGGGAGGTATTCTGTGACTCTGACATTGAGATGTCTCTTTCAGTAATTGTATAGACCTTAACTGGCATAGATCTGATACTGAAATGTTTTAAAGATATATTATTTAAACTTGTCTTTGAAAGTTCCATTATAAGTGTTATCTACTTATATGCTTTTAGAACTGTAAGGATGGGTTATCTAAAACTCTTAGACTGTTTTGACCGGGAAAGACAAAAAAGCAGATAAGTAAACCTCCTTGTGAACTGGCATTTAATAAGACAATCCCTGCTCCGTGGTGTGCTTGGAAACAACTTCCACTTCTTTTCCATTCCCCTTTTCCTCTTTGATGTCTGCATGCTAAAATGGAATTGTATTCCCCATTATTACGGATACAGATAGGACCAAGGAGGGAGGAGGGAAAAAACCCCTGAAAACAAACAAAAGATATTAACATGAAGAGGAGACTAAATCAGAACTAGACCCTGTTCTTACTAATTTTAAATATACTTTTCCAAAAAAATTGAAAATTTTCTCTCTTAAGTCGCATAATCCAGGAACTGAATGTCCCAGTAAAATAATGTAGGTGCATTGTGGCTGAGCTTCAATATGAATTATGATGTTGTGGTTATGCCTTCACATGTATTTTGCCCCTCAGCAGCTGCTTTTGTCATGTCCATATAGAAGCAGATATTACAGTATCATTGCACCTTTTCTGTTGTCTGCAAATGACTAGATGGTCTAATGCCACTACAAGCTTTTGTAGCACTTTTTTATTACCAATTAAACATAAATCATTGAGGGAATAAATTAAGGAAACTCCAAGGGAGTGAAGATTATGGTCTCTATAACTAGAGGCTACCTGTCACTGAATGTGATACTTCTGACCTGATAATTTGATATAATGTTTATAATCCAGGATAAATCTCTAGGAGTCTATCATTTGGAATCACAGAAGCATAGAATGGTTTGGGTTGGAGAGCTCTTTAAAGATCATTTGGTTCAAACTATGACCACCATCCAGTTCTCCGCCTTGGGGCCCGCCGCTAGATTAGGTTGCTCAGGACCCAATGCAATCTATTTTAAGATGTAGGATTCAGGACTAAATATCTACTTTTGTTCAATGCCCCGCCAGACATGCTAGAAAGGAAGTGGGAGATTCCGTGTTCCAAAAGGAGAACACATAAATCTTTAGGTGGCAGCACCAAGGACAGTTTTTGTATTCATTTGTACCTGTGCAAGAAAAGGGAGGAGGGGAGATCACTGAAGCTGAAACTCAAAGGGCTTTACACCAGACTATGCTGATTTAGCCCTCTTAATTGCCACAATTCTGGTTATATAAGGAAGTGGACTTTCGGACACCTTACGGATACAAGGTGCCACATTCTCAGGAAGTTAGTCTGAAAATTTCTGACCATAACCCTGGAAAACACATTGCACTTGTCCTCCTGAGGCATAGGATTTCTTCCATTAACCCTAGTGTAACCCTCTGACCTTTTAAACTTGTCCACAAGAATGCACACATTAAAAAATTAGGTACTGCTGGGCATGATCTGAGATGCTAGGTCAGCTTCAGCAGCTGGAGGCCCTTAGCCACTACGGTTGACATTGTGTTTCCATTCCACATTCATCCCTTTTTTACAGAATTCTGAATAAACGGAAGTGGGGATGCAGATGTTACCAGATGTTTGCAGCACCAGCACAGGCTGTGTGCCCCAGGCACTTCCTATTCTGTAGCTCAAACTTGGTTTAAATGTTGGAGGCAGGAAAACAGAACAGCTTAGCTATGTGGTCAATCACATCTTGGTTTATTGAAGAGAATTTAGGAACGTGTTGCTTTCCATAAAATTGGAAGTGTTAACTTAGGGCCTGAAGTGGAATCTCATTAGATATTTGGGCTTGATGGTAAAAGGCTATTAAAAGAGTTCATGACTTCTATCTTCTAGAAAGAACAGCAATGTTTAGTGCCCATACTATAAAGCTACCTAAAATCTCCATTATTCAATGAAGACTTTATTATTGGACTGCTGAGATGTCTTTTAGTAGACCTACTGATTTTAATAAGGAGTCAGAAGAGGCAGATATCAGATGCATAATTTTAAATGCTAAAAACCAGAACATGGTGGATGTGCTCAAGTTTTATAACACAGTAGCTATAAATTATTAAACCTATAACATACATACCTTGACATTTCATTGCATTNTAGCCAGGCCCCTTGCGCGCTCCCGCCCCGCCCCGCCCCTGGCGCGCTCCCGCCCCGCCCCGCCCCGGCGCGAGCCTCAGGGAGACGGACCGGGGCCGAGCGCGGTTGCCCCGCCATTCAGGACGGCGCTGGGCTCCAGGCGCTGCGTGTTCGCCGAGGGAGTTCCCGCTCGTGGCCGGGTCGATGCACAGGGTCAGAGGGCAGGCAGCCATTTTGTTCCCCGGGCAGGAATCTCGGTGGGTGTAGGAAAGCGATCAGATTTCAGCATTGCTTCACCGCGCTAGCGGAAGGCAAGGGTCGGTGGCAACGGATTGCGGATTGTGAGGAAGGTGGAGCAACTGACGTGAGCCGGGAGAAGAGTTAGCGGGGAATGAGAACGATGTCATGAGCCAGAGGTGTGGCCTGCCCAATATCAGGAAGATTCAACAAACACCAGAGGTTTATGTCCAGAAAGAGAAGTCCCTAAACTTTCTTTTCGAATAACGGAGGAGACTCTACTGGGCGCACGCCCTCGGGATTTTCCCTCATGAGGTTTCAGAGTGCGCAGGATCATTTTATCCCAGACTCTCGGCCGCATGTTGCCCTTTTTCTTTCCCTGTTGCTGAGGTACTACTTCTCGAACCATCTACCACACCTCTCCTAGAATCTCCTGTCATTTTACCCCAAAGTTCAGAAGTTCAGGCTTGTGCAGACCTTTGTCTCAGGAGCCAAGCAGTCTGGGGTCTGCAACAAACCTGCTGCCCACCCAAAGTTTACAATAGAGGCATTAAGACCCAATTCGAAGATGTGAACACCCATATTTTCACCCTTTCAAATTGTTTGTAAAGATATTATCTTTCTTCTCACTAAGAAAAACACTGGAAAATTGAGGCTATACTAGTCCTATGTAAACGAACACAGAACTGTTTCCTAGTGCCTTTGCACCTGGAGAGTGCTAGAAAACCAAACCCAAACAAAACCCCAAAAATCCCCACCAAAAACAAACAAACAAACAAACAAAAGTGTAGCTTTTGAAACGTCAAAATAAAAGTTTTGTACTGTGCGGGATAATCCTGCGAAACAGATTGCCACTATTCCAGCTACCTAAACTTGGAATGCAAAGGTTAAATCCAGT